GCATTATCATTTTCTTTGATAATTCAATTTCTGAAGTCATTTTAAATTTTAATTATTTTTAATTATATCAATCATGTAGAAATGAACATTAGTTTCGAATTGTATCTACCTATCTGTATTATTGTTTTCGAGTTTGTGGGAATCTTCTTCCGTCATTTTCTTTCTCGTGCGTCGTGCGCGTATATCGCATAAATATGTTTCTCAAAAAAATTATTGAATCCTAAAGTCAACTGAAGTCAACCGTTGGTTAAAATATAAATGTAAATAACGGAATGAATATTTACTGAATAATTCGAACGTGTGAACTATACGTATTAATGAATGTTGACACAATTTCAGTTTCTAAAGAGTCAAATGAAGAGTCTTGGTCAATCGTCGAACGCTTAGCCTGTGCGTCTTTCTAGATGCGTCAAACAACAATACTAAACTATCTTGACATTCCAACCGTCGGCGTCGGCGCGTCACGACTGTGAGTATTGTCCGAAAGTTTTTGTCGTAAAGTAGTTGACTTCATTCATACGTGTTGGGTCTCTCGTATAACACGTTCTAAAAAAGAATGAGTATTATTGTTAAACACGACCGAAGCAGTCGGCGGTAACGACGGCGACGGCGACGGCGACGGCGACGGCGACGGCGACGGGCGTTTTCGATGAAGCATGGAGCGTTACATCCGTTACTGCACTCTCACTTCTCTCGTTTCTTTCTCTCCCCGTGGCTGCAGCATCTCACCTCGCGACTCGCGGCAGACCGCATCGCTGAGAATCTATTAGATTTGTCATTCTTGATTATGAATAGTCGGGCCAGGCCACATCCTTTCAAGTTGATCTTATAGTTGTATTATAATATAAGTCTCTCGTATCTCCCTTCTCCTTACTTCTCGGACTTGTGAGCGCTCTTATTCACGCACGGGGCGAGCCGCGTGAAGCGCCGTACCTGTGTTGCTGTCGTGTGAAAACGCAAGATGCACCGTCAGAATTCCATCGTAAAATCCTACAATAGAGACTGATGATCCTGCGAGACGGTCGCGATTTCTTCTTATTTCCGTCGTACGGGCTCCGTACAATGACGACTTAAATCGCCGGCGAAATTGGGCGAAGTCGCGCCTGCTCGATCCACGTCTCGTGCCTTCTTATTTTCTTCTTTCTTCCCTTTCTTCCTTCCTCTCCTTCCTTTTTCTCTCCCTTTTATTTCGCGATCGGAGATATGCCGAATGAAGGCGAGAGGGTGGAGAGGGTGGAGTTTTGTACGTCGGGTGGGATAAATGGACGGACCTAACGGCGTGGGAGTGCTAACATCTCGGTCTCGTCATCAGATGCGCACCGGCGATAAAAGCGGCGCCGCGCCGCGCCGCGCCGCGCCGCGAGTGGCAGGCGCGAGAAGAGATATACCTATATACCTTCAAGCTTTTTCTTTCTTCGCCCGGGAACCGTCACATTCGTAGAACTATCCCGAGTGTGACCTTTTCTACAAAATAGATTTAACGCACGCACGACATCTATCCAATTAGTCGGCGGGAATAATAATTCCAAGGCGCGACGAATGGAAACGTGAGGACCATCCATAAAGTGGGAGAGGGAGGGAGGGACTGTCGGATCGAGCGCAGACCCTTGCCTTGCCTTGCCTTGCTTGCGGCCCGTCAACAAAATCTGCCGTAAAATTCGTTTCAAGGCGGAAGATATTTTTCTTAGAAAACGAATACCGCGAACGAACGTCGTCCACGACGAATGTGCATCCGGCTTAATACCTCGCTGCAGAACGAAGAATGCCGGCAGGTATCTCACGTGGAATCTGCGAAAGCGCCGTCTCTTAGCTCTCGCCTTCAAACGCAACAACGACGGCGTGGCGTCGTTGCCTCAGCCTCTCTTCGTTATTTTTCTTTTCTCACCTCTACTCGATGCGAGGTACTCACACACGTTCACACTTCCCTCCGTAGTCGAATAGTCCGTACCGTAGGTGGAGTACGGCCTCCTTTCGCATCTAATCTGTATTTTCGAAATCGATCACCGGTTAACAAACTTGTACGAATGAAAAGGAAAAAATAAATGATTAATGCGCGCACATCGAGGCAAAGTACGCGAATGTTACACATTAAGTTTTCTCCTCACTCGAGATCTTATTGAGACCAAAATTTGTTTTCATGCAGATAACTTATCAAAAAACTTATATTTTAAGTCAATCTTTAAGGATCTTTGATGTAAGCATGAACTTTCGTACGAACGAATAAATAACAATACTTGTTGCGTACGCTTACGTGTTTCTGTCTGTTACTCAACGGATTCGTCACGATGGTCACGAATCATGTTTATCATGTATCGTCGCGAAAAGGATTTGCGAATAAATAGTGCATGATTTTATATTGCATTCTAGGTATAACCGCAAATTTTATATATGCGATTGACGTCGCGAAACGGATTTGCATCGTACGTGCAATGAGCTTATTTAACGCCTACGTCATTCGACACGCCATGAATAGACGAATTTGATTAAGATTATCGCGTCGGCAAGCACTGTTCATCTTCATTCACAACACTCGAACCATTGATGCGTCGTTACCGATATTTATCGCCGCGTTCTTTCCGTTCTTCGAAATTCCTGCTTGTATCCTCTCGGTTATACTTATACTCGGAATTTTTCGCGATTTAATAATTCTGAAGAAAATATCGAGCGAAACTAAACTTGAACCTCGATTCTCTTTTCATACTTTTTCAATGAAAGACCCTTTTCACCATCAAGGGCTGGCGAGAACGACAAAACGGGAAATGTCATCGTAATCGAAACGGTATTTCCATCCCTTGTTTTGTTTGATTCCGACGTGCTAAGAATAGGAGGTCGGTTCGCCCATTATACACACACACACACACACACATATACATATATATAAAATATTAAACATACTCTCGGGTATATATCTAACAAGTTTGTAAAGCGTCTTCCGTCGGGCTAATTTAACATGCTATTGCATTCTGTATGAATTTAATCCCTTGGCGCTGTATAAATTTTATAAGACTGTAGGTGTGTGTTTGCGCCGTTGGCGAAATTTAGATGCTTGCGCGGCCAAGATATTTCTTGTTGCGTAGCGCTCCGAAATAAGAGCGAAGGAAGAAACGGAGATGTTGATATACGATTGATGTGATATTATTTTTTTTATGTGAATAGTCTTCTTCTCTCTCTCTTTTCGAAATTTCACGCGGAAGGGTCTTTCAAAAAAAATTACAGATTTTACTCTCTTTCTTATCGACATCACCGGATGTCTCGTCAACCGTTCTTAAGTTTTGCGTTCACTATATTAGAAATTTCTCCGAGATTTCGACAGAGAAAGAACTAACGAATCACTTTAGTTAGAACAATCCATTTGACCAATGCTATTCTCTTTTCATCTGAGATCTCCAAGTGATTTCTACACGGAAGAAACGATTTTACTAAAAATTTAGCTACATACAAATTTGAAAATAATTTTATCGACTATATAACCGGTATTCATAGTCGGTTCAAAACTGTATCTTAATTAATACCTCAAGATGTCAATGGTTCTGCGATTGGCTTATAATATCTTAAGATGGTCTTAAATATAAAAATTGATTGACTATAAATACTGGCCTATGAAAATAATTATATAGAATGTTAAAACGTAGTGGCCAACGTTACAACAAGTTTTGGCATTCTAGCAATCATTGAGCGTTCTACATCCTAAACAAAACAAAATTTTTGGTGAATCTATTATAATTCTAGTTGAGATAACCAGAATTCTGATTGCGATACATACCTAAAGAAATTTTTCTCAATGTATATTTATTTTGATGGTCCAACAAAATTATTTGTATACCTGTACCTAGCGACATTTTTAGAAATACTTAAGCAAAGTCGTTTTTTCGCTTAGCATCGTGCTAACGACGATAGTAGTGTCTGTCGGACGCATCTCCGATCGAGCCCCCGGCGCAGACGGCAGTTCGGCTCAGCTTTGCCAGACTCGGCTCGGCTCGGCTCGGCTTGGCTTGGCCAAGAGGTAGTGGGGCCGGCGCGGCGCACCCACACACGTGGCGTGGCGTGGCGTGGCATTACCTCGCATACCTTGATACCTCTCGGACCATCACGTCGGATAGCGTAGCGATTCGCTACACCCGCTACACCCACCGCGTGCGATCGAGGTAACACTAAACACGCCGGACGACACGAGTTCTCTCGATTAACCCTTGCTCGCACATATAGCTGGGTGAGCTGGGTCCCGGAGGCTCCGGGGGCCCCAGTCGGCGGTCGCTCCCTGCAGACTGTCGGCCCTCCCATAAAAGAGACGGAGCCGAGTGGCCTACGGACAGTTATCATTGCGAACTTACCGGAAGCGGTTATCTACTGAGAGAGACCAAAAAATCGACATTTTATTACATGTCGTTTCTCGGCTACGTCGGTTGACGAGGAGATAACGAGCTAACGTTATCGCCTCGATAATCATTCGGCGTTTTTCTCTTGGCGAGAAGATCGGTCGCTTCGGTGCACGAGAGAGAGAGAGAGAGAGAGAGAGAGAGAGAGAGCGTGCGGTATAGCGGTATAGCACGTGGCTGCGTACTATTATAAGAGAGGAGCGAACGTGCAACGGCAGACAGAGCGACGCTTCCGTTGCGCGTTGGCAAGAGGCGTCGCGCGTTGGTGGTCGAGTCGTCGAGTCGTCTTCGTATCGCGAAGAAGGGAGAGAGGGGAACGTACGAAAGTGGAAAAGCGTTTTATATTAGGCGTGACGCGCGCGATCGTCGGAATTCGAAGCGGGCAAGTGGCCGAAAACTCGGTCGCGCTCTACGACGACGACGACGACGACTATCTACGACAACTTCCCGATTCCCGCGATCTCGCGATCGCGTTCTCGCGTGGAAGAGGACACGGCCGCGCGCTCGCGCTTCGCGTCGCGTCGCGGGAGGACCTCCTCCTCCTCCTCCTCCTCCTCCTCCCACCAGGGAGGAGTTGAGTTGACCAGACGGCTCGCGGTCAGTCAGTCAGTCAGTCGAACGTTTGCTATCCGATACGCTTGTCGCGCGCGCAGCGCAACTCGTGATCGGGAAATCAGAGCTAGTGCCGGCACGGCCGCACCGTGTCAAGTCAGACGCGAACCGGCGTAAAACACCGCCGAGTCAAGTAGAAGTGGCGAGAAGTACGCGGTAGGTGAAGAGAATAAGAGACGTAGGCACGCGCGGGTGGCGCGAGAGCAGGGGCGCGAAACGAGACGAGGAGGAGGAGGAGAGCGATAGGAGAAGAAGAGAGAGAAAAGTCGACGACGCCGCTGCTCTCTACTCTCCCGTGTCTCTTCGTCTCTCTCGGGGCATTCTCGTAGCGCAGCTATACCGTGTACCTACCACCTTATAAAACGTGCGCCGCAGTATCGCGCGCTCTCGTGGCCGACGGTGCGCGCGGTGGTGCGGAGAGGCGCGAGAGGAGCGCGAATCGAGAGATCGCTCGCCGCGGCGAGCGGAGTAGCGGCTCGGAGTTGCGAGACTGCGAGACTTGCGAGAGAGCGCGGCGCGCGACCGGCGGGTAAGCTTTCTCGCACAGTTCTTCGCTTCGCTTCGTTCCCTTCGCGCGAGACTGCGAGGTGTGCGGTAATGCGGAACGTCCGCGTGAGGATCCTCTTGGACTTTCGCGACATCGACACGCCGAATCGGCCGAATAGAAAGAATAGAGGCGGCGCGGGCGGAGGTTAAACTTTAAGCTTTCCATCTTTTTCCTTCTGTCGCATTACGTACTACGCGCCGCGACGGAAGTAAGGGATAGGTTACGTAGTGCGAGACAGTGCAGAAAGTTTTGTGCAGTGAACGGTCGTTAATAGACCAGTGCGGCGGCTACGACGACGACGGCGACGAAGGAGAGCGAGAAAGAGAGAGAGAGTGCGAGAGGAGGAGGAGGAGGAAGACGCGCTATATGCGTAAGGTACCAGCACGAGTGCCAGGACCGTGTGCGAGAGAGTAACCGGCTGATAAACGGAAGGCAGAAGGAGGAGAAAGAGAAAGAGAGAATAGGGTGGCCGTCGCGCCGTGAGAGACCGAGAGTCGCCAAGATGCAGCTTCACGGTGGTCTGATGTTGCCGATCCTATTTATCGTTGCTTCCTGTCCTTTGACGCTGCGCGCGCGAAAAGTCGCACCTTTGATTGAGGACGACTGGGCGAGGAGACCGCATCGGGCCGCCGGTGAGTAACGATCATCTATAAATCTTGTTTATCCGTTGTTTACCCTAAACTTGCCGACGGCTCGCTATCGAACGGTACGATCTTTGGGAAAGGTGAGAGGGAGAGAGACCTACTCTCTCCACCACGAGACAAACGTCAAACGAAGGTCCACCTCTTCCGGTCGTCTCCCGTACGTACGGCGATTTTTTCGCTCGGTTGTCGCCTGGGAGCGGTCTCTTGTCCTTTAAAGGTTAGAGAGGCATCTCGTACGTGGCGAACACGGCTATACGTGCCTCGGACTCCGCGGCTCCGTTCTGTCGTTCTGAGCGCGACCGCGACGGCCTTACATAATGAGAGGAACGCGCGCGAGAAGAAAAAGAAGAATAAAGAAATGGGAGGAAAAAGGAAGAAGAAACGGCGCGGCGACCGAGCGCACATCCGTGACGTGCTCCTTCTCTCCCTCCCCCCGCGGCTCATCATAATGCTTTCCTCACGACGGCTTTGCGAGATTACGCTTTCACCGTGTAAAACGTGTTCCTCCGTACCGTGTGCCACACGGTTATCGCTAAAACGTGACCTTCGTTTGCGTCTCCTTCGTGCGCCTCGCATTTTTTTGACCAATTTGTGGAATGACGAGATCGATGTGAGATCCAATGATCGAAAGCTCTCACCGCGCGCCGTCTCTCTCGTCTTTGGCTGCGTTCGGCAAAAAAAGGCAACTTTGCATCCGTTGTAAGAGATTCAGAAATTTTCACTAGCAAGACTAACCATATTAAAAAAGGTTTTATAAGACGATACAATTCGCAAACAATTGAATGTACTTACCAACAAAGTTAATTGCAAACGTTTCGACTCTGAATTTGAGTCCCCTCAGGGCGAAAGTCAAATGCCTGTTGCTTATCGAAGAACTCTGAACTGGAGCACCCTGTGCTCCAAGTTAAAGTGTGTGAAACAAACTATATTTGTTTCACTTCAACTTATTACACCGGTGTGCACCAGTTCAGAGAGTTTATCGACAAAGAACAGACCCAAGTGCAAACTACTGAAGAATGTTACAATAGTTGCGAAATAGCTGCTTTTCCTGCTGAACATAACCATTTGTTTTTTTAAGCGGCAAATTGTCGCGCGCCGCTATCGATGTTAAATCTCAGCTCTTGTTATCTCGATGAGTTTTTAAAATGCAAAATGTGCCGTATATTTGTCTGGCATTTACCGTGCTTTGTAAAGTAAACCAGGAGTTTTCTACTTCATGACGTAGCGTTCAAATATCTTCTTGGGGGAATTGTTGCGCCGGGAGAGAGAGAGAGAGAGAGAGGGGGGGGGGGGGGCGAAGGACTCGTGTAGCTCGTTTCTCTTCTTTATAAGGATCTAGCAATGTCCACCGGCTTGCTCGTGCCCTCTTTTTCTCTCTGCCAATTCCATTCTTCTTACACAGGTTTCGTTTTACCCGTTCTAGTTTATTTCTGTCTTATTTAACTATCCCGTCTCCTTTATCGGACGCGCGTCGTCGAACTGTGAATGCCCGTTGCGTCTGCTAGAGTGTTTACAACATTCATGTTTACGCACGCGAGGAGGATGGAAGATCGAAGGTCTGCATAATTCGACCTGAACGAATCGCACCGTACGAGATTGCAATGATAATCGAGCGCCGCTTTTATGTCGCGACGTTTTCAAAACAGTAACGACATCGTATGGCATACAAATTTGGTCGATCAATGCCGTGTGCGTATCATACGTGTGTTTGCCGAATAATCAAACGAATTAGCAAAAGTTTCGGTTAAACAAACGCGCCTGTTTTTAATTCACGATTGTACAAAATTTTCTTCTTCACTAAAAAAAAAAAAAAGATCTACGCAATTGAAAAATTTATATTAAATTTTATACGTTTTTTTTATACGTGTCGCAGTTTATTCAAATTTTTATGTTAATTAACACAAACATGTTAATAAATACTATTCATTGTTTTTTTTCACTGGATGGTTGCATTAATCGGAAGTTTGAAAGATCAACCAGCCTATTTGTTCGAAAACAATCGCAAAAATCTTATTCAAACGTTCTAGTTATAAAATATCGAATCATGATAGGAATTCTACTTTGTTTCATTAGAATGCATTCAACTATGTATGTCTCATTAGTATATATAATTAAATCGCATTTTTTTTAGTATTCGATTTCACATCACGCTTTACATTATATCCGCTAGAGGCTCTCGGACGATTTAATTATCGCTGTAATAATGTCGGAATATTAGGAGCTAAGGAACATTTATAGCTGTAATCCTCCAAAAATTGTATACCTAGGTGGTAATGGGGCCGGCCAGTTGTGCACGTTTGAAACTTGCCTCGATTGATTTCTGCTGGCCGTCAGCTTAAGTCCGTTTAAGCTGTCGACCCTGAGATATTTTTTTTTTACCATACTAACCATTTTCGGATCGTTCTTAATCGTACCCGACTAAGTAAACTCATTAGCAGGCTTCTCTGATTTAATACAGGATTGTCCTTCTGAGGAATCAGTTACCATTTTGCAACTCTTTATTTTTTCCATGTTTGTTATTTCCGACTAGTTGTATATGAAAGGAAGGATTTTGTTAAAATATCTAAAAATTTAGGTAAATACAAATCTGAAAATAATTTTGTTGGCTATCAAGATAATTATGTAGGAAACTCGAGCACAACTCTGCAAAAATTTTTTACATTAGCAATCAGTTTGAGCATTCTACAAAATTATTTTGTAGTTCGATAAATTATTTGTCAGATCTGTATTTATAGAGCTAAATGTTTAGATACTTTTGCAAAATCGTTCTTTCCGTGCATATATATATATGTATAAATATTCAAAGATTTTTCGAAAACTATTTTTCTAGAATGGCGAAAGAAATGTTTATGTATGATGTTCTTTGAGTAAATCGAAAAAGTCGTATATGTGTTTCTGTCGAAAGCTGGAGAGAGGTCGATTTTTTCTTTTTCGTTCTCAGATTTCCACCCTCTTTCTTCGGATCTTCTTTCCTCGCTTCGAAACTTCTCTCACGGAACACCTGTTAGGCGTTGCTGTTGTTGATGCTAATCTCAATTAGTATTTATCGCCGAGGTGGCGACAGTAGACGAACGCAAGTCTCTATAATGTCGTTGAAATAAACGCGTGCGTCTGCCTTTTATTGTCGCGTCGCGTCTCTGGGGTGCGATGCGTTTTCGTGAAATTGTCTCTTTTTTCTTTCTCTCGTCAATAATATAACTTTTGGTTTAACAACGCACGATAGAGCACGTCGTCGTGATCGAGAAAGAAACGGACGAGAAAGAGCTGACGAGCCCGGCAGATTTTGTTCGATAAAATCTTTGATCGCCGCGCCGATTTCCGGCGTTTATAATTCACCCGAAGTTCGAGTTTCGAGTTCCTGGAAAGAGAGAATGTTTTTGAATTCTTTATTTCTTCGACCGAAGAATCCTCGCGTTACATCGCGTGTAAATCAGTTAACAGCACTTTTTCAAATATCGTCGCTTTGAGAACCGGTCTGTTTCTGTGTATAAACATTTATACGCGAAATCAGGCAGAAGGGATAGGAAGGATAATCGGCGAGATTTCTATCGAATTATCCGAGACGGACGGCATTTGGCTAAAAGATCACTATGCGCTTCGTTGTGTTCCTCCTATTCGCGGATTCGACCAATTTCTACCCAATTTCATACGATGGCAGATTACCTCGGAAGCGCGTGTTTAAAAACGTCTGAAAGTTTTACATAAATGGACCTTATTCACGTGGCGGCACGATCGGAACCCTTTCCTCGCCCTCGCGAGTGCGTCGCTCGATCCTCCGTACAAGATTCGCGGCTAATTGGCTGCAGCCACGAAGACAACGCCGCCGTTGTGCGTTAAACAAGTTTAGTAAGCCAATGTGCGCCTTTTTTTTTCTTTTCTTTTCTTTTAAGTAGGTAAACGACGGCGTTGCGTATCGTGAGACTCGCAACGCGTCTCCGCGGGACATTATCATTCTCGTGTACAGTCAAATTGCTTTATTTAACTTTCGGATGTATTCGATTATTATCTGATCTATAATAGGAACGAGAAGGAAGCCGATGGAAAAAAAAGAAAGAGTGAAAATTCTTCAAGAGATTGAAAATACTACTTCCTTCCTCTTCCTCGTTAAATTAATGGTATATTATATATTAATTAATTTTACTAAATTGAATTAAATAATAGAGAAAAATTACGCATAAAGTGATATAAACATAAAACAAATGATTTCCAGAAATTATTTTATTGATTCGTATAACGTACGACTAATTTAAGAGGATAATAATCGTCAATATTAACGCGAAAAGAAAGAGAAAAAGAGAGAGAGGGTGGAGGAGAGGCGAAAGAGAAAGGAGAGATAAGAAAAATGTTTTGAATCTCTTATTTTAGTTTTGGATTAAAACGCTAATACCTATATATGTATTTATACCTATACTCGTATATGATTAATGAAAAGTTGACAATGTATACCGATGTGAATGAAATGGAAAACATGAATGAAGAATGAATGAAAAGCTGATCTTTTGGTTAAACACACACTCGTTTAACTTGAATCGGGTAGATCGGTAATCTATGTAGTGATGCGATTAGTCGCCCTCGGCCCTCGGTCCTCCCAACAGGCCACACTGTGCAGAGGGCAGAGGGATTTCTCTAAAATCGTGGCAGGGTCCCGTCTCTCCTGTTTCTTTGAGAAAGGCTGCACCGCACCGAAGAGAGGATCGTATATATTTAGACGAGCTGCAGACACAAAACGACTTACCACCACCTCCGCGACGGCTTCTTCTTCGTTTCTCCTCTCCTTCGTTCTCCCCGCGAGTTCATTCCTTCTGCCCTATCTCTCCCTCTCTCATTGTCGCGGACGCACTTGTACGAGATCTTGTACGGCTAATGCTAATTCAATGTCTCTCTCTCCACACAAAGTGTCCAAAGTAAATACGAATACCGGTTCGAAAATATCACGTTTCTTTCCTAGCGGGTCGATTTAGGGCGATCGCCGATCAAGATATCGCCTT